CGCCATCACATCAAGTGGTGCCTTGACTGCCTACTCTGGAAAGAAGACTGGTCGTTCGCCTCTGGACAAGCGAATTGTTGAGGAGGACAGCTCCAAGAACGACATCTGGTAAGCTTTCCTCGCCTCTCAAAGCCTGAATAGTCGATGCGCATAGCTATAGAATGGCCGGCGCTGACCATTGAATGCGTAACTATTTGCTAACACGATGTTCACCAGGTGGGGCCCCGTTAACAAGCCCATGTCACCCGAGGTAAGAGAAACCGCACCCCAGATCGAGTCATGGTGCTGTGGGCACGCTTCCCCTTGGTCCTTTGTTTGTGTGGCTCGTCATCGGTTGGATATTCGCATTTCCCCAAGACACCCAGCCATGGCAACTGCGCTTGCGCCCAAACAGAGCCGTCTGTCACGCGACCTTTCAGAGACAGCAGCAAAAAAAAAAGTTACGGAGGAAAGTGTCTGGGCCCTTTCTGCTGCAGGCTTCAGTCCTACCCTGAGTCAGCAGCGAAACGAACTCAGGCACTGCCGAAGACTTCTTTGCTGTCCACGAATGCGTCATGTTTCAGCTCGGCACTGCTATCGGTACGCTTCCGCGCAGCAAGGAAAAGTCCACTGCCGCTGGTCCTTTCTGCACAAACCCGAGGAATTGATGCACGTTCATCGCATCGGTTCATGCCGGAGGGAACTTCATCGAGATGGACCTTCATCCAATGTTTTCCCCCGATGTTCCCCGCCAGGTTCCTCGGGTGCAGTTTTGCGACTGGGAGTGTCGTCATCCATGGGTGCAACCCCTCCTCGTTCCCTTTTGGGCCTTGGATGCAGCGCATGAGAAAAGAGGGCAGTTGGTTGCCGGCCCCGCACTTTCCAGTGCAAGGCCGCGCTAAACCCTTTCCTCGCGACTCCACTCCCTGTCACCCATTCTCTCCTTCCACACCCACCTCGCGTACCGACGGCTTCCATGTTCCTGCTTCTCCCGGCGCTGGACCCACACCAAGCGCCCGGGCCAACCTCTTTTTGAGCTTTCGCTGACATGTGAGATTTCTAGGTCTGGAAGATCAACCGCGAGCGTGCCATCGACTACCTTAACACTAGAAACCGCATCTACGTTGTTGACGGTTACGCCGGATGGGATGAGAAGTACCGTATCCGCGTTCGTGTCATCTGCGCTCGCGCCTACCATGCTCTGTTCATGAGAAACATGCTCATTCGCCCTCCTCGTGAGGAGCTCGAGCACTTCCACCCCGACTACACCATTTACAATGCCGGCTCTTTCCCCGCCAACAGATACACCGAGGGTATGACCTCTGGCACCTCAGTCGCTATCAACTTCGCCGAGAAGGAGATGGTCATTCTTGGTACCGAGTACGCCGGTGAGATGAAGAAGGGTGTCTTCACCGTCCTCTTCTACGAGATGCCGATCAAGCACAACGTCCTCACCCTGCACTCCTCTGCCAACGAGGGCAAGAACGGCGATGTCACCCTCTTCTTCGGTCTGTCCGGCACCGGCAAGACCACTCTCTCTGCCGACCCTCAGCGCGCCCTGATCGGTGACGACGAGCACTGCTGGAGTGACCGCGGCGTCTTCAACATTGAGGGCGGCTGCTACGCCAAGACCATCGGCCTGTCCGCCGAGAAGGAGCCCGATATTTTCGGCGCCATCCGCTTCGGCTCCGTCCTCGAGAACGTTGTCTTTGACCCCGAGACCCGTGCCGTCGACTACGATGACTGCACCCTGACAGAAAACACCCGCTGCGCCTACCCCATCGAGTACATCAGCAACGCCAAGATCCCCTGCATGTCAGAATCTCACCCCACCAACATCATCCTCCTCACTTGCGATGCCCGCGGTGTCCTGCCTCCCATCTCCAAGCTTGACCGCGCCCAGACCATGTTCCACTTCATCTCTGGTTACACCTCCAAGATGGCTGGAACCGAGGACGGTGTTACTGAGCCCCAGGCCACTTTCTCCTCCTGCTTCGCCCAGCCCTTCCTTGCCCTGCACCCCATGCGCTACGCCAAGATGCTTGCGGATAAGATCGAGCACCACAACGCCAACGCCTGGCTCCTTAACACCGGTTGGGTCGGTGCTGGTGCCGCCCAGGGAGGCAAGCGCTGCCCCCTCAAGTACACCCGCGCCATCCTCGACGCCATCCACTCTGGAGAGCTCGCCAAGGTCGAGTACGAGACCTACGACGTCTTCAACCTCCAGGTTCCCAAGACCTGCCCCGGTGTCCCCGACGAGCTCCTCAACCCCAAGGCCGCCTGGACTGCCGGCAACGACAGCTTCAACACCGAGGTCAAGAAGCTTGGCACCCTCTTCAACGAGAACTTCAAGAAGTACGCCAGCGAAGCGACCGAGGAGGTCGTCAAGGCCGGCCCCGTCGTTTAAAGCGCAAGCATGCTCTGAGTTGATTAGCGATCATATTTATGGATTTATGAAGGGCTCTTTTCTTTAATCATCTTTTGGGTACAACTTTTTTTGGGAAATTAGGATGTGTTGTCGACATAGTTCCGACACGAACATAATTGTCGCGCGGATTGGATACCGCGGCAAGTTTTGGGATTTGGGTGTCAAAACGGAGTGATATCTGTTCTGGGCTTCACTTCATAGAATGAGAATGAGAATAAACATGAAGCAAAACTATTTTTCCAGATCTTGAAAGTGAGAGATGTGGCCAATATTTGCTTCTAACAAACGTATTTGATTCCATTGGTTCTAGTGCACACATTGACCAAAGCCTGAGATCAATCTTGAATTCTTTCGCTCGTCAACCCGTGAAAGCAGTATGTGACATATCGGCTCCAGCAAGGATGTAGGTTGTGACAAGTCACCTCTTAGTCTGCGAATTATTCAGTAACCATGCCGTGTTGGTAGATGGAATCTTGGCAGTTGATCAAGTCCAACCGCAAGTCGGTCTTTGTCTTCATCATTTTTAGTTTTGTATATTCTCGCAGTCTAGATTCTTCCACTGTTCCTCTTGGCTCCCCAAATCTACCAGTCTCTAGAAGAAATCTTCTCCGCCACGATCCACCTCACAGATCCAACAGGCGGCATGTAGATCTCCTTACCGCTCTTGAACTCCCACCCTTCGGTTCGGCCGCCACACGACTTCATCAACGCCTCGACTTCATCGGGCGTCCTCGTCCTCAGCGCGGAAATGTACCCGTCAAACACCAACACGAACGGGATAATCGGGATGAGGTAGGTAAAGATAAGGACCGAGAAGCTGCGCAGCCTCCAGGCGTACAGAGGCGCGAAGATGAAGCAGCCGATACCGAGGATCGCGGGCATGATGAAGGACAAGAGGTCGCGGCCCTGCAGCTCCATAATAGCAAAGCCATCCGACGTCTCGAGGGTATTCTTCAAAATCGCCTTGGCCAGCGGGTCGTCAAAGTGGTGGAAGGCCAGATTGAACAGCCGAAACACCTTTTTGCCCTTGGAGGTGTACCCGTCGACCAGCTCGCGCGGCGCGTGCGCGGCGTCGACGCTCTTTGGTTCGTAGCCGATATGCTCGCTGCGCGCCGCGGCGCGGGCCCAGGACTCGGTGTTGGGGTGCAGGTCCGTCAGGACAAAGTCGACGTTGGGCTGCTTCTGGGCGGTGAGGTGGCGGTTGACGAAGCGCTCGATGGCCGGGGTGGGACCGCCGGAGCCGGCGCAGAAGTCGATGAAGGTATAGGAGGGGAGGCGAGGGCCGAGGACGTGTTGGAGGATCTGGGCGGCGACGCGGGCCGGGGAGGAGGTTTGGAGGACAGGGACACGGTAGACCCAGGCTGCATGGAGGCCTTCTTGGACGTAGGCTCGGAGGAAGGAGGGGAACCTGTGTTGGGAGGGGTTGTGTTAGCTTTCCACAATGAAGCTATAATTGAAGGAGAGAGAGAGAGAGAGAGAGAGCTGTGAGAGGTGAGAGGGGGAATCGGGAGGCGCAAACATACCAAGTCTGGTCGTCAATCTCAAAGAGGTGGAATCGCGGGACGAGAGGCGCCATCGTGATGACGTCGAGATGCTAGTAGTTGCCGTCTGAGGAATTTGTTGACACTGGCGGCCGAATGAGCAGTTAATGTAGTTGATTATGCTGGTAAGAAAGCTTCGACGACCAGATCACATGCAAAGCGTCCGATGTGTAGCTCCTTGCAAATCGGCCGGAAGTTCAACCTGGCGGCCACGCACGAGGGCTTTATTACACGGTGCTTCTTGTTGAGACAGATGGAAGTTCGAAGCAGAATTGGGGGTCTCCCTGTGCCCTGCCGTTAGCCGGCACGGGGTGGCGGGTGCGGGAGCTATCGCATTCGCTAGTGCTGAGCTCGAGACAGGGAAAGCTCCAGCCTGGGCATGGGTCCAACCCCCCCCAGCTCCGCTAGAAACGTGCCTTTTAAGTTCCTCATCAGCTCACCACGATGGAAGCAAGGCCTGAGACCAGCGTGGTGTTCCAAAGGACAAGTAACCACAGGCTAGATTAATATGGCACATTGTTGAATTCATGGTTGTAAGTACCCTTGACGGTATTATGGCGCGTAAGGTGAAGAGTTCTTGGAACAGAACATCGACATGATGGTGGGGAGCTACCTTATCCTTAAAGGCAACAAGGGGCCAAGGGCTTGAAGTTTCGACAGGGGGAACATGTTTAGTGTAATGTGGACTCACTCGGGAGCGGCGCAATGGAACTCTGAGTTCCCCCGTCGGTGGTACAAGCTACCAATTGCTCTCCTCTCACTGGTCGATGTCTATGAAGACGTTGAGGCCATTGGACAATTGTGTTGGCCTTCGTCTTCGTCATCATATGCTTCGTGGTATCATTTCGTATTCGTCTCTTCTCAACGCCTTCCATCCACCATTCCTATCCTGGTTGGGGTCAAGAAATCAGAAGTTACAGTCTGGCTGATAATTCTTGGAGGTTCAGTTACGGTAAATTGAGTCTGAAAGTGTGCATGGTATCTTCGGCACAGATGGTAGTGGAAAGTCGTCCCACGTTTCGGTTCTGACAGATCAAGGACACCGCCTCGTGATGGGGCTCATCAATGCCCCAACAGCCCTCGCAGTAGCTGCGATCTCTCTTCTGATATACGCCATCTTTGGTCAACCAAAGTTGCGGAGGAACGGTGTCCCATTGCGGTCAGTTCACCAACTTTACATCCTATTGGACTATCAATTACGCTATTTCGTCAGATATTAACTTCAGTCCAGACGACCCCCTAATACACTGCCGCTCGCTGGAAATGGCATCATATTCCTTAGAGACCGTCAGAAGCTATTCGATTGGTTCACCAAGTGTGAACGACTGTACGGCTATGAAACGCTGCAAATCTCTGTTCCCAGTCTACCTCCAGGGGTTATCATCAGCGATCCCAAGAACCTAGATTACGTGTTCAAGAACGAGGGCATATTTGCCAAGGGCGAGTTCTTCAAGGGGAGATCTAGGGACTTATTTGGTGAGTATTAGTGCCTCTCCGCATTGATGGTCATTGCGCTTACGGACCACAGGGAATGGCATCATCAATGTTGATGGCGAGCTGTGGAAGGTCCAGAGAAAGGCCGGACTCAACTTCCTTAATACCTCGAACCTGAGGGTTCTAACAGACGTAGCGCTGCCACAGTATTTATCTCAGAGTGTCGCTTACCTCGGAAAACAGTCCGGTAACGACGTTGTGGATTTACAAGCAGTCTTTCACGAGATCACAACCCAACTCATGGGGAAGATGGCTTACAATGTATGTTGACATGCTTTTTTACCGTCCATTCTGCCCTTCTCCTTGCTCCGTCTAACACATTACATAGATGGAAATGCACGCAGAAGACACGTTCGGCCTGGCTTTCGACTACGCATCTGGTGCAACTGCCGAACGGTTCCAGAACCCAATGTGGTTTCTCACAGAGATTCTCAATGGAACACGTCTGAGGAAATCCATCTCTGTCGTGAAATCCTTTGGACGGAACATAGTCTCCAGTGCGATGACGGACAGAAAAGCGTCTCCCAAAACCGTGCGGGACGTCTCACAAGACCTGGGGAACGACAGGCTCGACGACATATCCGGCAGTCTAGTCCAGTCATTACTGGACTCTATTGGCGACGAGCAGCTGGTCGCGGATGCCGCGCTGAATTACCTCTCTGCGGGTAAAGATACCACGGCGCAGGCTCTTACGTGGACATTCTACCTGCTCATGCAATACCCAGAAGTCGTGGCCAAAATCCGCGAGGAGGTTGACGGCATCAAAGAGCATAGTGGGGATACTCTTGAGAAAGCCATTGCGGAACGGGGTAACCCGAGCACAATGCCGTACGTCTTCTCAGTCTTCTATGAAGCGTTGCGCATCTTCCCACCGATCCCTTTCGAAATCAAACAGGCTGTTCAGGCAACGACGCTACCGGACGGCACCTTTCTGCCCCAGAACTCCGTCATTGTCTGGTGTACCTGGGCGATGAACCGCTCGCGCACCACATGGGGCCCCGATGCGGACCAGTTCCGGCCTGAACGATGGCTGGTCGACGGTAAAGTTATCAACAAGAGCACCTCCGAGTTCCCAGTCTTCAACGGCGGGCCAAGGACTTGTCTGGGGAAAAAGATGGCTGAGATCATTGCCGTGCAAGTGATTGCGACCGTGGCTAGTCTGTTTGATTGCGTGAGAGTCGATGACTCGACGAGGGTCAGCAAGAGTAGTCTTACCTTACCGATGAAGGACGGCCTGCCCTGTTTTGTACGTCGTAGACCTGAAACTCAATCCTAACAATCAATTCTTCGTTCTTGAAGGCTCTGACCGATGCCCTTTGGTGACAATTCTTGACTACTGAAGGTAATTGGTTCGTGTGTGGCTTAGGACACACGATGTCGCTCCCGAAGGGCCACCGATACAAAGAGGAACCACTGTCGCACTTGTTCACGGCCGGGTGAGAAAAAGAATAGACAAATACGTTCTCTGGTCCATCATGGTCTAAAGAATCAAAAGGCATAGTTCAACAGCAAAAATCGCAAAAGAAATAGCACAACCTGGTTTCGATCCAGGGACCTCTGGGTTATGAGCCCAGCGCTCTACCCCTGAGCTATTGTGCTGTGATGTGGGGCTAATTGTTGAGAAGTCGAAGCCAAATCAGCGTAAATAAATGCTCATTTCTCTCGCGTAGCACTTGAGGTCCCAGAATTTAGCATCTTTGTCAGATGATTAGTTGTCAAAATTCCTCAAACATTAGGTGAAAGTCAGCCCTTACATTTCAACGTTTGAAGAACTCGAGGCATCGTTGCTACCCTTAGATCTGTCACCCATTGAGAAGCATCAAATTGAAGAAGTGCGCTAGTGCGTGTGAGATATCACGAAGTTAGACCATGCGCCATGCAGACAAAGTCTTGGGATTGTTCCTTGAAAAGATCAATTACAGAGACACTCGAGGGCCTATTGTGTGCTCAAGTTTTATACATTCTTTCGAGTGTTATATTGACTACCTGAACCACCAATTCACGGAGGCATTCAACCTCCCGTCATGATGTCCACTCTTGACACTATGCCACCAACCCTTTGGAATGAAAAGGGCATTTCCAGGGCTTAATTGGGCCTCTGTAATATCCTCATGGCTCTCCAACCCCCAGATAGCCGTGTTCATTGCTACCCTCTCGCGGCCCTCCATCATTTCCGTCGACCTTATGCGACTACTCCCCGACTGCTGAAGCTGGGTCTGAACCTGACGATACAGCCGATCGCCAGATGGCGGCGGTAGCAGGCGGACTGTCTTGCTGCCAACAAGCTGACAGAACAAATTAGGATTCGGATCGCGATGTAGCGGGGTATACGTCGGTTCCAGCCCGAGCCACAAGCTCGAATTATAGACGTCGCCTTTGCCGGCTTCCAAAACAATGCGTGGAACTGGTAGGTCTTGCTGGAGTTCTAGAGGTAGGTCCGGGAGTTGAGCCTGGGCTATGTAAAGTTGCTTGATCTTCTTCTCGTGCAGACTGTTGAATTCCGCAGCCTTCAGAAGAAGTTGTAGGGGAGCAACGAAGGACGAAAATTTTGGCTCCGAGGCATCTGGGTGGGATGCTGCGTGGACGATGCCTGCTAGCACTGCACCCATGGGATTCGGGTCTGATGCGAGCCATGCAAGAAACTGGCTTGTTGTGTTTACTAAAACCCCAGAATCTTCGGCGATCTGAGGACTCATGAATTCGTATGGAAACATGTGGTGGGCGAATTGGTCCATATAGGGAGTGAATTTGGTGGTAGGTCTCCGGCTAGCGTCTTGGGCTTGGGCGAACCATTTCGAAGATGCCGAGAAGGAGCTCTGCTGAGCAGGACTGGAGGACTGGCCAAACAGGAGAGGTTTCCCTGGTGCAAATGACGATCTTCGAAATTCTTCGATGTTGACTACCTCAAATGGACGCTTTGTAGCTTCTACCGAGTTCACTGTTGAAAATCCACGTCGAATTTGGGAGGCCCTAGATGAAGTGAGCGCGCGGCAACAGCCACGGGCAAGAAGCCTCATGTATGAGAGCATCTATTAAAGGAACATAGTCTTAGAAACGAGAAAGAGAACAAGAATTATTATGTGAAATGGAACGAGTCATAAGCAAGTTAAGAAGGGTAGGGGCGGGCAAGCAGTTTGACTTGATTTGGCATAGCTACGTACTCGGGCACATAATGGAATGACGCCTCGGTGAACAGCAATGGAGCAATGGAAGCGAGAAGGAGCACCCTCACCGAGAAGATCGGCGAAGGGAACAATAGCAGGCCCGCTCACCAAGGAACCGATCGAGTGCGCACAGACCAGCATAGTGATTGGACGTAATCTCAGCGGGCTGGGCTTCGTGAGGCACCGCAGTCCACAGCCCACCCACCACAACTACAGCTTTTGCTTGAGAGGCTCCAAATACCGCTTCTCTCCCCTGCCGCCAAAAAAAAAAAAAAGGACGGAGTAAGGTTTCTCTGTATCGCAACTCGACTTTGCTCCGTACACGGCATCCGACCGCTCGCGATATCATTCCTCGATCTTGCAACTTCCGCATCGCCGACGTCCTTCGCGCTCGAGATGCGCCGTACTTGACCTGTCACGCCCTCCAACTACCCCGCCACCTTTGCGCCCCTGCCGGGAGACTATCGATATCCAAAGCAGCTCTTCGGAGATCATCGCTGTCCTCCATCCGACGACTGTATCGCGCGTGCTTGACCGCGTCGCAACCCAACCCATTTTTAAACGACACCCCGTCAATACCATCACCTTGGATTACCTCGACGACATGTCCACCTCTTCGGGGGCCCCGGAGTCTTGGATATCTTCCTTTTGCTCTCTCCTCGGCCATGAATACTTCGCTGAGGTTTCTGAGGAGTTCATCGAGGATGACTTCAACCTCACTGGCCTGCAGAACCAGGTCGCAATGTACAAGGAGGCACTCGAGGTACGCAGGCTCTTTTTTCTTTCCCGCTTGAATACTCTTTTTTCTTTTTTTTCCTATTTGGCGATGGGGTGCTCAAGCGACCTTTTCAGCCCCAAGGCTGCGTGATAGACGTCAATGCTGATTGACTTGCATAGATGATCCTCGATGTGGAGCCTGAAGAGGACGAGGACGAAGAGGAGGAGGAAGATGAAGACGAAGACGAGAACGATTCGGGAGATCAGGACCGACTCGGCCCCAGACATGACCGGAGACAACACAGCCGCATGGCTAGCGACCTAAGCGTTATCGAGTCGTCGTCCGAGATGCTGTACGGCTTGATCCATCAGCGATTCATCTGCTCGAGGGCGGGTATTCAACAGATGAGCGAGAAGTACGAGTTGGGCCATTTCGGCTGCTGCCCCCGCACCAACTGCGACCAAGCGAGAACACTCCCTGTCGGTCTCTCTGATATTCCCGGCGAAGACACCGTGAAGCTGTTTTGCCCATCCTGCCTCGACGTCTACGTCCCTCCCAACAGCCGTTTTCAAACCGTCGACGGTGCCTTCTTTGGCCGTACCTTCGGCGCTCTCTTCCTCCTCACTTTCCCGGAATACGACCTCACTAAGCGTGGGGCCGAGGTTCTCAGCAGCGGCGGCGCACGCATTAACGATGATTCACTCGAAATGATCAACGGCATGTACGCCAAGAACATTGCACCGGGCCTGGGCGCTGGACGTATATATGAGCCCCGTATATACGGCTTCCGCGTTTCTGAGATTGCAAAGTCGGGCCCTCGGATGCAGTGGTTGAGGGACAGGCCGGATAGCATGACCGAGCTGGACGAGGCGCGTCTGTACGCGGATGAACACCCCGATTCAGACGATGATGAGGAAAACATGAACGGCAACGGCCGGCCTACCACCCGTCGCCGTGCTCCTGGCAATGCGCGCCTCCGTGCAACGCAACGCCAGGCGCAGAATGGCAGTCCGATGGCTGTGGAAACGAACGGCGCAGAGTCGGAGCTTTAGGACTTAGTTTGGAAAACGATTCTCACTTATGGGACTGATAGTCCTCCGGGATTGGGCGGCAGGTGTGGCGCCGCGCCAGGATGGGGATGGAGGCAATAAGCCAGCGAGATAAAGATGTCGGTGCAGATCGAGTGAGAGGTCAATATGGCTGCCCTGCATAAGGTAGATGGCGTTTAGGAGGCACATCCCGATCTCCGTTGATGAAAGAGGCACGGCGTTGCTAAGGGAGACGCATTACTGAAGTAAAGAACTCATGCCGTTACACGAACTCTGGTTTCAATTCTTTTTGCAGGCAATGGTGCCTGTTGTATAGGCTTAATGCGCTGGCCATTGCATTTCTGGGCCTCGGGACACTGAAAATAGACTGCATGCAATTCGACGGTCAAACACAAGGACTCTTCATCTCGCTCTCGTCACGATGCAAGGAGATGATGCCTCTAGACAACGGCTCGGCGGCAGGTCCCCTTATAGGTAGCGATGGCCCACGTGAAAACCATATCTTGCCCCATGGGGTCAGCATCTCGATGTCCACGCTGCGTCTTTCTTTGACCTGCATACTGGTAGCGTATCACTGGCCTAATATTCTCGATTCCATCCCGCCCCCTCCTCCCACCTGCTCCTCTTCTCCCGGCCGCATGTTCCCGGGGTCGCCTTCATGCTTAATGCCCCAGACGATCCTCCTAGACCCACAAACCCATGCCGAAAAGAGTCGATGAGAGGACTATACGACCTCGGGTGAATGCTAGACAAATCTACGATCGAGCCTCTTTTCATTTACCCTATGCCTGCTATTTACCCGGATGATGTCACCCTGTACCAACGATGCGGGGCCTCGGGCTAGGCTTGTTCATTACCAGATATCCCGAGCATGTTTGATGAGATTATCATGCCTGTCCAGTTCGCCTATAACTTGCCCGTCTAGTCTGGAAGATAACTACTGAGTATCATGTGCTGGAGAAGGGCATGTCTTGTTCATTATAGGAGACATGATGCTTCCATTCGTAACAGTTGCCGTGTGGCTGATGAGTTTTTCAACTGCACAGGAATTTAACTCGACCTTTTACAACCCAATAATCCCAGGATTTCATCCAGATCCTAGTTGTGTATTTGTCCCTGAGTGGAATGACACCTTTTTCTGCGCATCTTCTAGTTTCAATGCATTCCCTGGCATACCTCTTCATGCTAGTAAAGATTTGCAGAATTGGAAACTAGTCGGTATGTTCCACCAATTACTCAAGAGTATTGCTACTTTGTTGACACGGTCTAGGGCACGTCTTGAACAGGAAAGAACAGCTCCCTCGACTTGTTGAGACAAACCGATCCACAAGGCAAGTCTCCCGGA